TTGTGGTAACAAAGTGACGATATCCAAGAAGGAACATAGAATGTTGTTGGCTTATCTTGACCAAGAAGAGAAAGAGAAGGAAAGTACATATTTGCTCAATACAGAGGAAGAGTTGATTTTGAAGAGTTTGACGGTCAAGAAAAGATTACTCCTGAACCTGAACATCACCATATCGGTATCTTAAGGAGAGTTTTGCATGCTGATTTTGTTCCTCCTACTACACATGAGCAAAAGGAAAATTTGTTCCATACTATATGCAAAGTAGGTGATAGGAGTTGCTCATTGATCATAGATACGGGATCATGTACCAATGTTGCATCTACTAAGTTGGTTGACACTATGAATCTTTCTACTAGGGACCATCCTACTCCTTACAAGCTTAATTGGTTACATGATGGAGATGGACTACAAGTTAAAAGGAAAGCTTTGTTAAACTTTTCCATGGGTACATATTCTAATAGTGTGTGCTGTGATATTTTACCTATGACTGCTTGTTCTATACTCTTGGGTCGTCCATGGGTTATTTAATGGTGTGACGAATGTTTATTCAGTGAAGGTTGGGTACAAGAGAGTTCAATTACATCCTTTACCCCCTAAGGCGCCACCTATTCAAGCTCCTGCTAGAGAGTTGTTGATTATGCCTAAACTTGACAAAAAGGAAAAAAGGGCTAATATGTTGTTATTGAGAAACCAACATCCTTTTGAGATTGGTGACTATGTTTTCTTATCTTTAAATGCTCAAAAAATATTTAATAATTCTAGAGGTAAGAATGAACCATTAGAGGAAGGACCTTTCAAGATTGTGCATAGGGAGAATTATGATACTTTTCAAGTACTTCTTGGAGCGGGAATTTGTGTTACTATGAGGGCTAGTGACTTGGTACCTTGTCTTCCGAACGAAACTTGAGGGCAAGTTTTTTTTAAGAGGGAGGGAATGATGTGAATCGATTCCCCTTTCTTATAACTATTTTTATTGCTTTATTCAGGTACTCTCTTGGTTTTACCTTACTCTTAAAGTAGGGGTTTTACAGGTGAGTTTTTAATAATATTTTTATTATTTTCTTCGTAGTAGTTATGGGGCCTTGGGCTTCCAAAGTTGTGTTAATTAATTAGTGGGCTCTCTTGGTTCATTAATTTTTATTAGGGCTTTTTATTTAGTTTGCTTGCAGGGCAAGTAGGATATAGATTTGTTTTTCCTATATATAGTAGTTGTATGTCAATTATTTGAGGAGGATGTTTATGAAATAAAAATCAGATTGTTGAGTTTTAACTCAAAGAGAACTTTGTTAAGGTTCGAACTAGTTGTTAACTAGGGTTTTAGGATCGTTGCTCCTAAGATCAAAACTTAGAAGTCGTTGCCTTCTAAGATTATCATTCAAATTTCCACCATTAAAATCACTCAAATCTTTCCACTAAATATAAACTGTCAAAATACGCATCAATTAGTAACTAGTTTTGTGCCCGGGCGATGCCCAAATGGTTGATAAAAGTTTAGGATAAACTTTTTGGATTTCTAAAATGGATGTAGCTTAACTAAAGCCCCCCCCCCCGGGTTAGGGGGGACCAGAAAAGGCCCTTCGTTTTCCCCCCTTCGTCGGCCCTTGCCGCCTTCCTTAACAAGCCCTCGAGCCTCCTTTTCGCTGCGTTCCTCATAGAAGCCGCTAGGTTGACCCCGAAGGCCGAATTCTATGGTAGAGAATGCTGTAATAATAATTGGGCCATGAGAGACCGAATGTTAAATACGATCATATAATCCCTTTTGATAATGCAGTATATTTAGACATACTGAATTGAAATATATTTTATTGAACTGAAATTATTTTTACCGAACTAAAAGTATTTTTACCAAAATAAAAATTAAATAACTTAAATATACTATAAATGGATCTTATTTTAAAGAAATTTTAAAAATTAATTTTATGATGGAAATAGTACCGAATTATAAGATATTTATTAAAAGTTATGATTAATTTTGTTTATATGAAATATTAGAAGTATATCGATAGTAAAACTCTATACAACTTTTTTATCTTTAAAAATCTATCCAAACTCACTTACTTACCATCATATGTGTCACAATAATACCTATTTGTCGCCTACATGGCGCGACACTTGGCGAAAATTTGGAATGTCAAGTGTCGATGTCTCGTGGTTTGGTTGCGAGACCAACTTTATTTGTTAGTGACTAGTTTCGTGCCCCGTGCAATGCCCGGATTGTTTATTAAATTTTAAGAGATTTTTTTTTATCTATATGATAAATTTTAAAACATATCATTAATATAAACTTTTTATCTATCCAAATAAATCATATGTGTCAATAATGGTTATTTGTTACCTACGTGCACCACACTTACGAAAAGTTGGAATGCCATATCTCGTCCCCTGCTTGCTAATCGAACCGCTTAAGTTTTGTTACATCGCGTGACTTTGATTAATAGTACAACTTAATAAATTTATTAATGACTAACTTATTTTTTATGTCAATTAACAAAATATATCATAAATAGATTTATTTTGAAGTATTCTTTTTTTTTAAAAGGAAATTTTGAAGTATTCTTTATCACAAATATTATGATAAAAAAAATAATTTTTTAGGATAATCATAGAGAGTTATAATCTATTTATTAATTTGAATAGAATTATAATTTAATTTATAATATTGATATTTTATCGAAAATAAAACCTTAAACCAATAATTTTATCCTAATTCTATCCAAATTTTATTGAAATTAAAACTGTAAACTAACTTTTTTATCGTACAAAATCTATCCATTTTTTTTATTAAAAAATATATTCAAATAAGTCGTATGTGTCAAAATAATTATCCTTATATGGCGCCTATGTGGCTCGACACTTGCCGAAAAGTTGAAATGTCAAGTGTTGTCTCGTGGCAAGGCTAAAATTTCCGCTTTATATATTAGTTATAGCTTTGTGCCCGGGTGATGACTAAATTGTTGATAAAATTTTATGATAAACCTTTTTGCTTGAATGTTAATTATGATCATATAATCACTTTGGATGATGCAGAATATTTAGACATACTATATCATATCGCTTATTTATATAATAGTGTACTTGTAGTTTTGTTTGTAAATAGATATTTATGTTATTATTAACTTGAAATTATTTTTATTTATTGAAATTAAATTATTTTTACTAAACTAAAAGTATTACTACCTAACTAAAATTATTTTTACTAATAATAAAACTAAACATATTATAAATGGATCTTATTTAAAAGAAATTTTTAAAACGAACTTTAAGATGGAAATATAATCGAGTTATGGGGTATTTATTAGAAGTTATAATTAATTTTGTATATATGAAATATTAGAAGTATATCGACAATAAAACTCTATACAACAACTTTATCTTAAAAAATCTATCCATACTTAGCATCATATGTGTCACAATAATACATAATTTTCGCCTACGTGGTGCGACACTTGGCGAATAATTGGGATGCCAAGTGTCGCTGTCTCGTGACCTGGCTGCGAGACCGGCTTTATATATTAGTGATTAGTCTGTGCCCCGGGCGATGCCCAGGTTGTTTAATTTATTGAATTTTAGGATAAACCTTTTGGCTTGAATGTTATAATTAGTTTTGATGATGCAGGATATTTAGACATGCGATATCATACTTAAATTATTTTTATTAAACTGAAAGTATTTTTACCGATTAAAACTTATTTTTACTAATACTCTATTATTTTAAATATATTATAAATGGATCTTATTTTAAAGAACTTTTTAAAACAAATTTTATGATGGAAATAGAACTGAGTTATTGGGTTTTTATTAAAAGTTATGATTAATTTTGTATATATGAAATATTATAAGTATATCGATAATAAAACTCTATACAACAATTTTTTCTTAAAAAGTCTATCAAAAATTCGCTTACTTAGCATCATATGTGTCACAATAATACCTAATTTTCGCCTACGTGGCTCGACACTTGGCGAATAATTGGAATGTCAAGTGTCGTTGTCTCGTGGCCTGGCTGCGAGACCGGCTTAATTTATTAGTGACTAGTGTTGTGCCCGAGCGATTCCCAAATGGTTGATAAAATTTTAAGATAACATTTTCACTTAAATGTTAAATACGGTCAAATAATTCGTTCCAATAATGTAGGATATTTAAACATACGATATTATATGGAGTGTACTTTGTATAGTTTTGTTTGTAAATAGATATTTATGTTATTATTGACTTGAAATTATTTGTATTGAACTTAAATTATTTTCACTGAACTAAAAGCATTTTTACCAAACTAAAATTATTTTACTGATTAAAACTTATTTTACATATTCTCTAATATTTTTTAAAATAAATTAAATAACAATACATTTTGTATGCGGCTAACTACACCATTTGGCCGGATAAAGTAACCCCTATAAAACTGATCGAGTAACCCCTGTAATATTAACCGAGTAACCTCTAACACTGACTAAGTAATAGTTGGTGACAGGGTTTGACCAGCTACGTATAAAAGTATGTGATTAAATATATCATAAATGGATCTTATTTTAGGGAACTTTTTAAAACAAATTTGATGATGAAAATAGAATTGAGTTATAGGATATTTATTAAAAGTTATGATTAATTTTTTATATATGAAATATTAGAATTTTATCGATAATAAAACTCTATGCAACAATTTTATCTTAAAAAATTTATCCAGAAATCGCTTACTTAGCATCATATGTGTCACAATAATACCTATTTATCTCCTACGTGGCGCGACACTTGGCGAAAAAGTAAAATGCCAAGTGTTGTTGTCTCGTGGTCTGGCTGCGAGACCGACTTTGTTTATTAGTGATATAATATAATACGATATGATATGATTACATATTAAAATACAATCAAACTTATAAAAATTAAAAATTACTTGGCTTAAAATTATTATAAAATTATTAAAATTCTTTTTAATTAACCGCTTTACAATAAAATTAATGAAATTCGTCGCACAAGACTTATTGATAAAAATAAAACAACTGTATTAAAAATTAAGAATTACGAGAACGAGAAATTACCAGATTATCGAACTAACTTGAGAAAATCAATTGGGTCTCATAAAACTTTTTGTAATGGGAGATAATCGTAATCGCAAGCTGCAGTAATTTCAGAGCTAACAACTCAGAGGGTGGACGACGAATTCAGCAACAGCAACACAAATTATAGCGCCATTTTTTCTGTTGGGTATCTTCTCTTTCTTGCAAAATTTCATTTTTCTTTCCCAAAAGTTTCTGAATTTTGTTAATATCTTGGTTTGTATAGTGAGTTTGAGCTCTGAAATTATTGAGGAATTAAGGGTCGGGTGAATAAGGTTGTTGATTATTAGATTAATTTGTTCAATTTTTGAGTTGGGTTTTGTCATTTTTGAACTTTGAATCTGTTTGATGAATTTTATTTGGTTTGATATTTTGCAGTAATCAGTAACCTAAAATTGCTAGTGGGTTGTGATTTTTGGGTGAATTTTAAGCGAATTAGATGAATTGATGACTTGGTTAGCTCAGGAGTGAAATGGTTGTTGATTAAATTGGTTGATGGTGCTGATTTTAAAAATGTTGATGTGCCAGTGTGAATTTGTGAACATCGTGGGGTTTATTATTGCAATTGTGTATAAGTGTGAAATTGGAGTTAGTTAAGAACTTATGAATGTTGGTATGGCAGGTTGTGTGCTAGATTTACATCGTCGATTTATAAAGAGTGTATTCTTGTGCTTCTGTGCTCGAAGAGGTGTTTTTCTTTTCATGATCACTTTATGAATGTTATTAAACTTACGAATAAATGTTCTAGGAAATGATGAATGATACACCTAAACTAAAGAAACCAAAGCCAAGGACAAACAACCCAATCTTTGTAAATATGTAATTATAGGTTGAAGAAGATTTAGTATTAAAACACTTCCGTCTTTACACATGTTTAAGCTATATAATTTAAGATATTGGACAATATTTTGTGTTACTCCGTATCATTATAAATTTCCAACATATTTTCAATTTCAAAATTCTTGTATCTCTCGCTCCTTGATGTTCATTGCAAATGCATAACTTGTCTCCTCAGAGGATGCATCAAAATTCAATGGTAAACAATTATTCTGGGAGACCTGATTCATTTCCACCTGAGGATGAGCATCAATATACTTCAAAGAAAGCAGAAGGTCAATGGCGATGGGAAAGAGATGCCCAGCAAATGTCGCCTCAACTCTACAGTGATGGTGAGTTCTCTTTTCGTCTAATTTATTGCAAGTTTCAGTTTTTATGAGTACGGTTAACACTTTGTTTGGATAGAAGGAAATGGAAGGAAAAGAAGAGAAGAAAAAGGGAGTAGAACAATTTCTTTTGTTTGGGTAAAGGATTTGGGGAAGGAAGGGGAGGGAGAGGAAATGATCCATTTTCTCTCCTTAATAAGCATAATCCCTCCAAAATTGTATAGATTTGGAGGGAAAATGGTGCTCACCTGTACCCTCCCTTTCTCTTCCTTCCCTTGCTTGCATATGTTTTCATAGCAACTTAGAAGATAAAGGAAGGGGATGGAAAAAGGAGAAAAGGGAGGGAGGAGATGGAGCTCCGTATCCCTCCAAATCTCTCCATTTTTGGAGAGATAATGTTAGTTTGAGAGGGAGGGAAAGTGGAATAGTGGATCCCTCCCTCCCCCTACCCTTCCTTCCTACAACTCTTTATCCAAACAAAGGGATTTGCTCCCCTTCTTTTTCCTTCCCTCCCTTTCTCTCCATTTTTTTATATCCACATAATATGTAAATCTTTCTATTTTCCAGTACCAAATTCTGATTTGTGTTATGAGTTTTCTTTTCAATTAGACATCTGTAAATGTAACAACCTTCAGCTGTTTTTTTTTTTTTTCTCTTTTTTTTTTAAATTTTTTTTTTTTTAAAATATTTGGCTTGCATAAGACTTCTTACTTACAATCATTTTGGATCTTAAAAATGTTAAGCATGGACCTCCTATTCTGTCTCTAAAAAGCTAGGAATACATAATTTTGAGATAAGATGATTATACAGTATGTATTTTCATTGATGATGAGATATTGGTAATATCACCCTTTCAATAATCTTGGATTTGCAAGATTGACAATTCATCATTGGGTGAATTGTCACCTTGTGTGACTTCATCCAGAAAATTTAAATGCGGACTCCCATGTGACACCAGTATGAATCGCTATTCATTAGGCCAATTTTGAACACTTCACACATATGAGACTAGTATGGAGTTTGCTCATGGGTAAAGGAGATAAATGAATATTTGACCAGCCAATAATACTTGGACTAACTACAAAGTCTTTAATTTGTGCTCAAGATAGTGATTTTGGAGAGTGGTGGAAAGTGGAAAGTTGTCAGGAAGCTGTTTGGTTGGTTGAGTGAAGCTGTAGTTCATGCCATTGACATCCTTCGACTGCTAGAATCTCTACATAAATGAGTTGAAATTATTGTTGGCTGGCATAATTTTCAGCGGGATTCAGGATTGATTGCCCTAGATAAGGCTAGTTGTGTTGAGAGGACTAGCTTCAAACCCTTGGAAAACATTGTGTGATAATTTTCTAGACTTCCTAGCAACTTCGCACTGTGATTCCTTTGACATAGATGATTAGTATCAGACTCGTATAGTCATATCACCCCATGAGTCTGCAGGAATTGGCTTCGATCTAGACTTGTCATATTGTTATACGGAAATGACAACAATGAGCAGAAGTCTCGCTCACTAGCATAAATTTAGCTCATATCAAAGTTATATAATTAACGTTCTTGAGACTTCATTTGGGGAGCAATGAAAGATTACAGCGAAAATTGGATGAAGTATTGTTTGCTCAAGTAACCTCAGGATTGTAATTAACGCCTAATATAAATTGATTCTGGTAATATGGTATAAGTCATGCATAGGAGATCCTCTTGACACTAGTGTAAAGTTCAAATAGTAATCTAATGGAAGTATCCTTGACCCAATAGGAGATCGGTAGGTTTCAAATCCGGTACATACCGGCCGAATCATGACGTAGCGGCCGCATTTTTATACTATGCTTCCCATGGTTTTTTGGGTCCATTTTGTTCATTTTGGCAATTTAGACAGTGGATCCAAATTAAAAAAAATTCCCTGTTTTGAAGTCTATTTGGTAAGAGCTCTCCAAAGGTGTCTCAAAAATTTTGCCCATAATTATTATTCCCTCTTTACTTTGTGATTATCTGGGGTCACCACATTCTATTATGTTCATGTTGTGTATGATTAATTTCTTATGTCATTATGTTCATGTTGTGTATGATTAATTTCTTGTGTCGTTACCTATATTCTTAGCTTTCTTACTATCTAATATCTATACCCCTCATACCAAATTGTGTACCTGCTGAACATGGGCCCTGCTCCAAACAAAAATTGTCTTGGGTTCAATACTCTTTAAACGTGATCATGTTGTATTTTGCAAATGCATAAAGCTTAGTGCACAATGCTATTTTGTTCCCATCTACAAGACAATTGAAACAACATTGGACTTGCCATTAGGCATTCCAAACATGATATCCACTTGCTCACAGGATGTACTAATTGTTGGCAGATAATTAAGAAACATAAAGAAAAAAAATAAATGGTTATTAAATAACCATGCATTACCATTGAAAATTAAAGGTGTTTCCAAATATAGGGAAAAATAACTAATGGTAATAAATATTGCAGGCTAAATTTTAAATGGCTTAGGTTGTTTTAGGAAAACTATAAATTGAGCATTTCCTTCATTTGTATGTAATAATTTCAAGAGAAAATCTGAGAGAAGAAAAATAACTCAGAGAAAAGAGGGGTTGTGTTTTTTGCACTTTGGTATAAATAGACATTTTGTTTATGTAATTTATTTCTCCCTCAAATTTGATTAAATAGAAAATTTGCATTATTTTCTTAACAATTGGTATCAAGAGCTTGGTTGACAATTAGTCCACATTACGATAAAAATAAAAACGATCCTAAAAGAAAAAGTCAAATTTGAGTGGGAGAAATGGCTGCAGACAAAGGAGAAGTTAAACTTGAAAAATTCGATGGTAAAGATTTCGGATTTTGGAAAATGCAGATTGAAGATTATTTATACCAGAAAAAACTCTATCAACCTCTGGAAGAGAAAAAGCGCCAGATGGCATGCAAGAAGCAGAATGGAAGCTTTTAGATAGACAAGCACTCGGAGTTATTCGATTGACGTTATCACGCAATGTGGCGTTTAACATTGCGAAGGAAACCACAACGGCAGGTCTCATGAAAGCTCTCTCTAATATGTATGAGAAGCCATCAGCCTCCAATAAAGTTCATTTGATGAGGCGGTTGTTTAGTTTGAGGATGTCGGAAGGTGGATCGGTAGCTCAACACCTTAATGAACTCAATTCTGTCACAACCCAATTGAGTTCTGTTGAAATCAAATTTGATGATGAAGTATTAGCGTTAATACTTTTATCTTCCCTGCCAGATAGTTGGAATGCTACAGTCACAGCTGTGAGTAGCTCATCGGGAAATAACAAGTTGAAGTTTGATGACGTTCGTGATCTGGTTCTTAGTGAGGAGATTCGACGAAGAGAATCAGGTGAATCTTCATCCTCTTCAGTATTGCATACAGAGTCAAGAGGAAGAAATTTAATCAGAAGGAATGAACGCGGAAGATCAAACTATCGAGGACAATCCAGAGATAGGAGGTCAAAATCCAGGAATCCAAATAATTTCCAAAACTCAAAGACTGTGGAGTGTTGGAATTGTGGAAAGATTGGGCACTATAAAAATCAGTGCAAGGGAACACCAAAAGGCAAAGAAGTGAAGGCAGAGGCAAATGTCACTTCTACCGGAGAAGGTGATGATGCGTTGATATGCTCATTGGAGAGCAAAGAAGAGTCTTGGGTATTAGACTCTGGAGCATCGTTCCATGCTACTTCTAATAAAAACTTTTTTGAGAAGTATGTCCATAGAAACCTTGGATAGGTATACCTTGGTGATGACCAACCTTGTGATATTGTTGGTCAAGGTAATGTCAAAATTAAGTTAAATGGGTCAGCTTGGGAGCTGAAGGATGTCAAACATGTTCCCGACCTAAGAAAGAACTTGATCTCAATTGGGCAGTTGGCTCGTGAAGGTTACACTATAATCTTTCAAGGTGATAATTGGAAGATTTCAAAGGGAGCAATGATAGTTGCTCATGGTAAAAAGAATGGTACTCTCTATTTGACAGCTGGAGCGTGTTATTCGATTGCAGTTGCAACAGAGAATGAAAATTCCAAGTTATGGCACCAAAGACTTGGTCACATGAGTGAGAAAGGAATGAAAATCATGCATTCAATTGGAAAACTCCCTAGTCTAAAATCTGTGAATTTAGACATGTGTGAAGAATGCATACTTGGAAAGCAGAAGAGGGTAAGCTTTCAGACATATGGAAGAACTCCAATGAAAGAAAAATTGGAGCTTGTTCATTCTGATGTGTGGGGACCAACAACCACCCAGTCTATAGGTGGAAAACAGTACTTTGTGACTTTTATTGATGATCACTCTAGGAAAGTATGGGTTTACTTTCTAAAATACAAGTCCGAAGTGTTTGAAGTTTTCAGGATATGGAAAGCTAGGGTTGAAAATGAAACAGGTCTGAAGATCAAAAGATTCAGGTCCGACAATGGCGGAGAATATGAGGACACCAAATTCAAGAAGTTTTGCTACGAGCATGGTATTAAGATGGAAAGAACTGTGCCAGGTACGCCTCAGCTGAGCGGATGAACCGAACATTGACAGAAAGAGCCAGAAGCATTCGTATACAGTCAGGTCTACCAAAACAATTCTGGGCAGAAGCAGTCAATACAACAGCTTACTTACTTGATCAATCGAGGACCATCAACCCCATTGGAGTACAAATTACCAGAGGAGGTATGGAGCGGCAAAGAGATCAAATTGTCGCACTTAAAGGTATTTGGTTGTGTAGCTTATGTGCACATTAGTGATCAAGGCAGAAATAAGCTTGATCCTAAATCAAAGTTTGCACTTTTATCGGTTATGGCGAAGATGAGTTCGGATACCGCATTTGGGATGATGAAAGCAAAAAGATCATTCGTTTAAGAGATGTAATTTTCAATGAGAGAGTCATGTACAAAGATAGGCATAAAATTGAGAGTTATGAAACAAATCAAAAAGAATCTACATTCATTGATGAAGATTATGTCCCAGACAGTACGATGCAAGAGTAAACTATCATAAGTACTCCGCAACAAGAAGAACAGACTGTACAGGGCAGTACATCGCAATCAAATGACATACAACAACCTTCTTGTCCAACTCCTACACTAAGAAGGAGTACTCGACCACATGTGCCTAATAGAAAATATATAAATTATTTGTTATTAACTGATGATGGGGAACCAGAAGATTATTATGAAGCATCCCAGACCAGAGATGCTAGCAAGTGGGGGCTTGCAATGAAAGATGAAATGCAATCCCTAATTTCAAACCAGACATGGGAACTAACTGAGTTACCCATAGGTAAGAAGGCCCTTCATAACAAATGGATATATCGAGCAAAAAAGGAGCACGATGATTCCAAGAGGTATAAGGCTCGACTAGTTGTCAAAGGTTTTCAACAGAAAGAAGGAGTTGATTATAATGAGATATTCGCTCCTGTTGTGAAACTCAATACCATTAGAACAGTGTTGAGTATTGTTGCAATTGAAGATCTTTATCTCGAGCAGTTAGATGTGAAGACTGCATTTCTTCATGGAGATCTTGATGAAGAAATATACATGCACCAGAAGGTTTTATAAAAAGTGGGAAAGAGCAGATGGTATGCAAACTTAAGAAAAGTTTATACGGGCTAAAACAAGCCCCAAGACAATGGTACAGAAAGTTTGATAACTTCATGCACAAGGAAGATTTCCAGAAGTGCAACGCTGACCACTGTTGCTACTTCAAGAGATATCAATCCAGTTATATCATCCTATTACTTTATGTTGATGATATGTTAATAGCAGGTTCTGATATGAATGATATTATAAAGTTGAAGCATCAATTGTCAAAGGAATTTGACATGAAGGACTTGGGTCCAGCAAAGAAGATTTTAGGAATGCAAATCACAAGAGATAAGCAGAGAGGCACTTTGCAGTTATCACAATCAGAGTACATCAAACGTGTTCTTCAGAGATTTAATATGGGTGATGCTAAGCCTGTTAGTACACCGTTGGCGAGTCATTTTCGTCTATCAAAGGATCAGTCCCCTCAGACAGATGAAGATAAAGAATATATGGCCAAGGTTCCTTATGCCTCGGCTATTGGAAGTTTGATGTATGCAATGGTTTGTACAAGACCAGATATTGGACATGCAGTGGGAGTTGTAAGCAGGTTTATGTCCAATCCAGGAAAAGTCCATTGGGAAGCTGTTAAATGGATTTAGAGGTATTTACGAGGTACAATTAATAAGTGTTTGTACTTTGGTAAAGGTGAATTGAAAATACAAGGTTACGTTGATGCAGACTTTGGCGGTGAAGTCGATAATAGAAAGAGCACAACGGGTTATGTATTTACAATTGAAAATACAGCCGTAGTTGGATGTCCCAACTACAAAAGATTGTTGCTTTATCCACTACAGAAGCTGAGTATGTGGCAGTGACCGAAGCTAGTAAAGAGATGATATGGCTTCAAGGAGATGAGCTGGGGTTCAAACAAGTGAATAATATTTTGTATAGCGATAGTCAGAGTGCTATACATTTAGCAAAGAATTCGGCATTTCACTCAAGAACAAAGCACATCGGTATTCGTTATCACTTTATCATGTCTCTTCTAGAAGATGAAGTGTTAACTCTTAAAAAGATTCTTGGCCATGTTAACGAAAACAGTGACGATTGACAAGTTGAAATTGTGCTCAACATCAATTGGTCTTAAAATGACAGAAGACTAGTTGAGGTTCTACTCCTTGGTGTGAAGACAGATTGAAATCAGTCTTCAAGTGGGAGATTGTTGGCAGATAATTAAGAAACATAAAGAAAAAAAATAAATGGTTATTAAATAACCATGCATTACCATTGAAAATTAAAGGTGTTTCCAAATATAGGGAAAAATAACTAATGGTAATAAATAATATTGCAGGCTAAATTTTAAATGGCTTAGGTTGTTTTAGGAAAACTATAAATTGAGCATTTCCTTCATTTGTATGTAATAATTTCAAGAGAAAATCTGAGAGAAGAAAAATAACTCAGAGAAAAGAGGGGTTGTGTTTTTTGCACTTTGGTATAAATAGACATTTTGTTTATGTAATTTATTTCTCCTCAAATTTGATTAAATAGAAAATTTGCATTATTTTCTTAACACTAATATCATATCAACCACCTTACCACCATACTTAATTACTTACATAGTTACATATATACTCCCCAGCCTTGTAATCTGTTTAGGAAACTTGTCAGAAACTCAGAATTAATCCACTGAGCTCATGCTAGACAGCTAGAGTGATGGGTGTCTGGAATTATTGTTGAAGATAGTTATAAGTATTAGAAAACAAGTTGTACTTCAAGTAGCCTTTCTAGCTGCCACTGCTTCCTTGCGATTGTATCAGCCATTTTTGAGGAATTGAAAGACTGCACAAAGCTGTGAATTCCTGTATCTGATACAATTTCCAGTTGTTTGGTAATTGTACATTGAGGTTGTTTGTAGGCTCTTTCTTGACTAATCTTGTTGCATGACTAAGTTACTGACAGTCCTCAATAACATGAATTTAGTTAAAAGGTAGGTTAAGACGTCAAGTACTCAATTGAATATGGTATTTGCCAGGTGCTTAGGAAAGGAAAACATATAAATGGAAGCTTGTTAATTTTTTTATGTAGTGTTTTCTGTGTAACGAAGTTGCAAAAATCAAGTATCCTACTATTTTACTTTCTTGCTAAGTAAGTTTGGGAGGTTGATACTGAGAATGGAGAGAATTATTGCCTAAGTAAAAACCTCTTAACATACACAGCTTCATTAAATTTTCTGGCCTGCTTGATTTGCCTTCACATATTGAGTACCGAGTTAGGCATTAAACCCGTGTTTTATAATAGGTGATTGATAGAAGTTAATACTCGATATCAAATGCTTGGTTGGCCAAGTAGATTCCACTTTACTGCCTTTCATATTTCTGTTCCCCAATTATTCCCTCCCCTTTCTCTTCTAATATCTCTTAATTGACCTCGCTAGTTGTATCTCTAGGTAAGTTTGGGAGGTTGATACTGAGAATGGAGAGAATTATTGCCTAAGTAAAAATCTCTTAACATACACAGCTTCATTAAATTTTCAGGCCTGCTTGATTTGCCTTCACATATTGAGTACCGAATTAGGCATTAAACCCGTGTTCTATAATAGGTGATTGATAGAAGTTAATACTAATGCTTGGCTGGCCAAGTAGATTCCCTTTACTGCCTTTCATATTTCTGTTCCCCAATTATTCCCTCCCCTTTCTCTTCTAATATCTCTTAATTGACCTTGCTAGTTGTATCTCTAATGTTCATCCTTATTATGATCAGTTGCCTTTGTGGTTCAAGTTCAAGTTGTTTAAATCTGATACTTTATTATACTTATCATTTCCAGGACAAGGGGGGAATGCAGGCAGATCATTCTATCCTAATCAGATGCAAGACACAAAAATGGGCTCAAATCAAGAGCAAAGAGTCCACCCCCAGGAGCAAGATATGGAAGTTGGGTATGAAGACAATCCAGTTCCACAGACTTTGGAAAGGCTTGACCAAAAGTTCCATAGCGATATTATGAAATTTACAAAAGAACAGGGTGACGCAGAGGATGCAGAAACAGCTAGACACAGAGAGGTGAGGTTTACTGTTGCTATTTTGAATCTTTCTGTACACTAGCAGGTAAATCAATATGGAATATGAATAATACACAGGAATCCTATTGTTGGTATCCTTTTAATACTTGGTTGAAGATGTCTTGGAAAATTTCCAAATAATTATTGGACGTGCTCAGAAAATATGGAGCTCTGCTTCTATGCTAAATGCTGAGAAAATATGTCAATTTATTTAACTGCTTGCTGTCATTGTCTGTTGGATGTTGTCTGCGTCACTGTGTGTTGTCAATCTTTTTTGGTTATCATGGAGACCACCACAAACTTACAACTGTGTTTTTTTTAAAAAAAAAATAAAAAAATTTATGTCCAAATAGATGTTTTTTTAACTTCTGTCTATCTTCCTTTCTCCAAAAATGAAACTGAGTATTTTATTTCTCTTTTATCAGAAGTTCAGAACGCCTAAGAGAATATTGGGCATACACTTATCATAACATGAATTCTTCACATGCTAACATATTTTCTGGAAGCTCATCTTTGGTCTTCATTCTGCTTATCTCTCCTACTAAGTGCAAAATTCTCTGCCCTGAAAATTCATTTGCTCAACTTTGGACAATTATTGTTTTGTTTTACTTGTGATCTGCTTTATTAACATACCAATCATGGTTGGACCTACTTCCTCCTATATTATTCTAATAAAAGTTATACCAATAGTTGTATTCTCGAGTAAGCATGTGGCTTAGCTTAGACGAGAGTAAACCCGGACAAGTTTTGTCCAATTCCCGTTGGAGGGATTGGATATAGTCCGGTTGTATGACCCCTTTATAAAAATCATGCCGCATAATGACCAAGAATTTTTTTAAATTAGTTAGCCTGGAGATAGTAAGCTGGTCATCAATATCATCAGGGATCACTAAGCTCTTCGTTAAATTCTGATAGTCCTTGTGCAATTCGTGTTAGCATTCTCTGGAGTTCATTTGATGTCTCTATGAAGTAGCATACTTCTGCATTGGTATATTGGTGTATTAATGACTTCTTCAGTAGCTGACAAAGGAATTTGGCGGGGATTAAGAATCCTCTAGCGTACCCCAAGTACACCTTTTTTAGTTTCCATTCCTTTGCGGCTTTGCGCCATACTATAGTACTTTGGAAACATCATCATCAGAGTTTTCAAACCTCTACTTAAATATTATCCATGCCAGTGAATTCACTTTGATGATGTCTGCTGTCCTTTACTCTTCTTATTTTGCAAATGAGAATTACTGTTCTTGTTCAAACAGAGCATGCTGTAAGTCGCTAAGTCTGTTAATTGAACTATTGGAATTAAAAAAAAAAAAAAAAAGACTCAAAAAGTTCATATAATATCTGGCAAATTTTGCTTGTTTGTTCTACTATTATTGCTATCTTTATGTCATGGACTGCTGAATTTGTGGATGTTTCAGAAAATCATTGAGATCAATAATCAATATCAAGAAAAGTTATCTTCACTTCGAGCTAAGTATGCCACTCTGAGAGAAGAACTTCTCCAAAGAGAGTCCCAGGCACGCTTACAGACATACCAGCTTGCTGGCATGACCCCTTACCAGAACAACAGTGGGCCCGTTGACATGAATCAGGGTCATCATGGTCCTCATGGATATGGAGCACCAGATATGGCCCCTGGTGAACCTCATCGGCAGTTTGGTGGCAGGGTAGAGTTTGATTCATACAGAGAGCGTCATGAATCATTTGGACGTGGGAGAATCCAAGGAGCTGATACTAGAGTTCCGACCCCTGGGGGTCGAGTTTACAATACAGGTCCACGTTATTATTAATAGCTTCTTGACCCTCCTTTGTGAAATAGATTAGACTATTAGGTGGAGTTTAGGCTTTTCTGCTGCTTGGGTGGCTCTTTGTATCTCAGGAAATCGACTTCTTCTACAGACAATGTATCAAGTACTAGGATATTATCGATGATTTTAAGCTTATAATGATGGTGCAATTTTCGTGTTGTTTACTTGTTTTTTGGCACGACCATCTCACATAGTAGGCCATACCTTGTCTTACAAAACACAACAGCACAACCCTTCCAAGGGAATCCAGTGAAACATGTACTGGTGAACTGATCATTTCTAAATACAGTAGCAGATCAAATTTGAAAATATTTGCAGTTAGCACATTTTTGCAAAACAGTAGAAAACAACTTAGTACCCTACAATCTTGCATACATCACAGCTTCTATGGAATTTGAAATGCAGTTCATAAAACAAGCGGTGTCTTACACTTTTGTTCTTTTTATAAAGGATACTGAATAATTACTTCATTCGTTCCATTAAGTTTAATGAAAGCGAGCATGAATAGTTTTCTTAAAAGTAAAACGCATACACTACTAGTATTCATAATTTTTCTTTGTTTCATTGTTGCAAGAATTTAGGAGTATGAATTTAAGAATACTTGATGAATGTCATATGAACCTTAATTTTTGGATAATGTGTTCTAAAAGTGTGTGCAATGAGTTCGTTTGCCTGTAAAAATGGATCTTGACTCCTTTTAACAAGTTTTTTTAATAATCAAGATAATCTTCATAGTTTCAATTTTCAAATTTAACTGAAACTCATAAGTACACCCTCAAACCAAGAATAATAAAGCATTGTTCCTTGAGAAAATGAGTGGTGCACTTACTAGTTTACTTTGCTTCACTTGCTTGGCTTTGGATCCTTGTAGGATAAATATAAATGCTATTACATTGTATTTAGGATATTGAGGTTGTAAAACGTAGAGACGTGATCAAGGTCCTTTTGTTTAAAATTAATTTTCATGTTAAGATTGTACTTTAATTTGATAATACTACTCGTATTATCAAATTAAAATTAAACTAAATGTGATGGATGCAGTGTATAAGTATATTACATTAAACAATAAAGATATCGTTCTCTTCAACTTAAATATGAGTTTTACTTCACATAATAATACACTTTCAATCATTAATAATTAACTCTATAGTAAAGAACAAATGCAACAGTAAATTAAAAATAAAAAAAATAAAAACAAATTTTAATAGATATTGTCATTGTTACATACTCGTATTATTTAGATTCATCGAATTTTATTTATCTAAACGTAATATAATTATAAATTGAACATGAGTTGAAAAAAAAAAAAATATTTATATTTCCATCTTACTCGTCCAACTTATTAACCCTTATTCGAACTAATCTAGAAAACTTTTTGCACCAACAACAGAACAACTCATTAATGCTTTAGTTTAGGATTCCATAGAAAACAGCAAAATGTAACGGCTACATTATTCCTTCCTCTACTCAAGCAAGGTAGACACTTCCAAAATATATGATTCACTCTTTGCAATTAGCATAAATTAATCATTGTACCAAACACTGCCTTCAATTATATGCTACTTAAAGTACAATAACCTTCTTTTTAAAATACATTAATCATAACTGAAAGCTGACTAATATGACATTATTATTTATTATTATTGATTTATTTCTATAATAAGGTAGAATGGGCTTATCATGTATTAATCATCATAGCACTAGTTTTGCATTAAAGTAATTTGGTGGGAGCCGTGGGGTTCCAGAAAAAGAAAGATTATCATAACCCACTTTCATTAGCTAATCAAATCAAATTACACAATAATATAGTTTTTGTTCATCAAGTGGAGTAGATGGGTTGAGATTATTGTTACAAATTACCTACTAATTACTCTATTTTTAAGTGGTATCATATCGACTTTCTACCATGTTTAAATGTTCAATTAATTATGTAGAATTCTCTTACGTTCGTCTCATTACATATTTATATAATATCAGATATTTATACTTAATTACTTATAAATGATTAAAGATGTTAACAGTGTGATAAACATTTTAACTCAATATCAATAAATCATACAAGTGACACAACTTTGTTAAGAACAATTCAACTTTTCAAGTCAATAGCAAGTTTCAAGTCAAGTCAATAGCAAGTTTCAAGCAGTTTATTAACTTTTTAAAATTTGTTTAACATTTTTATTTATCCATAGCCTAAAACAAATATGAAGTATGTCGTGTTCTCGTAGCGATTAAATACCCAAGGTATTGAAGTGATTTTCCATCAAATATAAAGTAGGGGTTTTGGCCTAAAGTAGAGAACAATTTATTTATTTTAGCCTAGATGACCTCCCTAAATAAAAATCGTTTATCTAGTGACATTTTTGTAAATAAATCAACAAAATATTTCAGTTAATATGACATTTTCGTAATAAATAAATCAACATTTGTAGGACCCGCAATTGATAAAAGTTGTTGACTTATTTATAGAGATGCCACTAGAAAAACACTATTTTGTTTATCATGAAGATAAACTTGTATTTTCTCATACTTTACTCCATATTAATTGTTAATTCAATCAGCAATTATGGTAACGTAGATGATAAATCGCAGCTCAAGTAGCAATTTACTCGTGGTGAGAATTGCGTATTAATCTTACATGTCTGGGTAATTCCGAGATTATGTTTTATTTTACACATAAAGAAGAAAAGGTTAATTTAAATGCAAAAGTTATTAAAAATCGTTATTTGCAAAGACATTCATATATCTTCTCATTATATTTGCACCCTATCTCGACAGCATGACGATGTAGCCTTGTAACTTTGTAAGGTCTTCCATGGTTGACGATCTTCTTGTTAAAAAAATGCCAATAAAATCTTTGTCAAGTACGAGCTGTTAAGATATAGTCGACATTGTTTGATACAATGATGTCAAATTTTCAATTTAAAATTTTCAATTTAAAATTTTCATATTAGTTCTAAGAATTTGAACAGTACTTTGAAAGTTAATCATATTAACTATTACGAAGTAATATTAAATTATTAATCTAGTCAATTATGGCAAAATGATCAATTTAAACTTAAAGTCTAAACCACAATTTCATTTCATTGATTATTGCCTTTTGCAATTCATTTCTAACATCTTTTTAAAAGACCCAAAAAAAAAAAAAAAAAAAAGTCAAAAATAAATAATAATAACAAAATAAACAAAAGAAATAAAATTAGAGCGAGAATTTCTTTGTATTTTCATGTTTTGGTACGAAGAATACCCACTTTGAGAGCGGAGAACAAGAATAATTCTCTCGAAGTGGGTTTAATGAGAATCAAACTCAAGCCTCCCACCTAAAATTCAAAGAATTGACCAACTTATTCAACCCCCTTCTCTATTTAAATGTGAACTAACAAGTGGTAACCAGCCCACAATAATGGCAATTGGCAAACAGGTACAAATGTACAATACTCCGTATAATATTTCCTTCCTCATTGTAACTGTGTTTCTTTTGAAGAAAAATAATGAAATGACAAAAAATATATAGTTATAAATATCCCTCAACAATAAAACACAATAATTATTTATGACCCACCAATTAAGAAAATTCAAATCATATGCTTTTATCCCAAAATATTAATTATATATATGGATCCCACCCACCACGCAGGATCCTTATCCACACTAATCTTATATTAGCCCTTAAATAATGCAATACGAATTTAGACCTTCCCTTTAATATCATAATCAACCAAATACCAATCATTATTTACCAAATTCTTCTGGTATAACCTGCTGCCATAATTCAATATTCTTCATCTCTGGATTGTACAACTACATCGAAGCCTTAATCACAATAATAGGGTCGACTATATAAACCAAAATTTCATACCGCATATTCATATTATTAAGTATAACATCCTCACGAGGAGACTACCTAATAATGAGGCCGACGTAAGAATCATAGTAAGGGCAGTTTGATGACAGAACTGATGACTTGTCAGGCTTGTACCTCAAGCAGATCCCTCTTTTTTATGTGTTGTTGCTCATTGCTTAGTTAAGTACTCCAACCTGCAGAAAAGCATAGCAACCAGCATAATAACATACATATAATAATAATTATAATATCATGTAATATGAAAAAGAAGGAAGCTGTTGAAGGAAAGAGACACAAAACTTTATAATATATACCAAATTTCAATGTACAAAAAATTTAATTATAAACTGAAAGAGACAACCTGGAAGATCACCCAACACCTCCTCCCTAGAAGGTAAAAAAGGGAAGATTAAAAAAAAATATAGGAGAGAGAAAGGGAAAGAAGAAGAGGAAGAAAAGAACATAAAACTATGAACTAACCTTAAGCACAAAGCTATAGTTACACCTACTTCTGTTCAATCTTTTCTTTTAAGCAAAAATCTCAAACACTACAATCAGAGAATCACACAATCTTTTCAAAGAAGCATAATTTCTACCTTTTTTCTGTATCTATTTTGAGTGCCTAAAGAAAAGGTAAACTCCCTGGTGTTAGCTGTGTAACTCTGATGGGGTCGATTCAGACTCCGATTCCAGTTCGTAGTTCGGGTTTACTCGAAAATTCATGCGGATATCTACTTCAAGAATTGCAGGCAAGTTTCTTTTGCTGTTAAGTCGGCTTGAGTTACACTTTTACTTACTCTGACTAGTAACTGTATGTTATGTTATGTTATGTAATGTTATCTATTTATTGGAGCAGATGATATGGGATGAAGTTGGAGAAGATGAATTCGAAAGGGAGAAGGTCTTACTTGACATTGAGCAGGAGTGTCTGGGGGTTTACAGAAAGAAGGTTGATTATGCTAACATGGCGAGATCACGACTGCATCAGGAACTGGCTGAATCTGAGTCTGAGTTTACGCAGCTTCTTCTGTCACTTGGCGAACGCTCTCTCCCTGAAAGGGTATATTCATTTCTTCCTTACCCGTCTTTGTGACTGTTATTAGCTCCATATAAACTGAAATGAAAGAATCAGATCAACTAATTACAATTTACGCAATGATAAGAAAGCTGTCATCTGGGCAGGATATTAAACAGTCAAATAAATAGTAAGTTATTGTGAATGTTAAATGGCAAATTAAAGGTTCTTTGTTCACTGGAAATAGCTGAATTCTTACAATTGCTTACTAAATGATATTCTTGTAAGTTGTAAACTTGTAACAGACTGGCTCACAAGTGAAGTGAATATTAGTAAAAAAAAAGCAACAGAAGAACATAATAGTATACCAAAATTGATGGTGTTTTTAATTTTACTATAAATGAGATTATAGAAGTGATTAGACGACACATCCGGCCAAAATACAAATCTTCTGGTGAGCTTAGCTAGCAGGATTATAGGAAAAATGTTTTCCTGCGTTCTCTAATCGTGTAGATTGTAGAAAGAGAATTATAATCTTGGATGAAATGGCCAACCTCAACTTTGGGATTAAGGGTTCAATTGTTAATTTTTTATGACATGGCTGACTGTATTTCACAACAGCCGGAGAAGAAGGCAGGAACTCTAAGACAACAGATAGATTCAATCACCCCAGCTTTAAGTGAGATGCGGCAAAGAAAAAGAGAGAGGATGAACCAGTTCCAAGCAGTTCAAGGGCAGATACAAAAAATTAAAGCAGAGATATCAGGTCTTTCAGAATATGATGACTCTGCATCAATTATGAAGGTCAATGAGAATGATCTTTCATTGAAGAGACTTGAGGAATATCAAGCCGAGCTTAAAAAACTCCAAAACGAGAAGGTATTACAAATATGATATTATAAAATAAAACCCCTCTACCTCTAAATAATAGGCCACATCTGATTTGAGATCATAAAAGGTAAGTATTTCGAAAATTTCTTCTAAAATGAAAAAAATTTAGAGCTTAACTTAATTTTTGGGATGCTTAAATCAGAAATGTGGCCTATCATATAGGCTCAGAGGAGATAGCATGCAATAGATAAACCCAGAATGTACTAACAACTCAGTTCTAATTTCTTCATCATTCAATTTAAAGAGTACCAGACTCCAAAAGGTGGAAAGATATACAAACCAAATCCATGATCTGGCTGCATTATTGGGAACGGATTCCTCGATGACTATTACAAAGATTCATCCAAGCTTAAACGAGTTGTGTGGCATAGCCAAAAATATAAGTGACAACATTTTGGCTAAACTCGAGGATACTGTGAAGTCTCTAGAAGAAGAAAAGCAGAAACGCATTGAGGAGGTTGGTTTTCCTCCTGCAAAAAAACCATGCTAATTTATCTTGATTTATTCAGATAATACCACCAAATTCTCTGGTGATAACCAAATGCAGCATCTTTGTCATGCAGCTTCATCATTTAGGTGAAGCGTTGTTAGACATGTGGAAGCTTATTGATACACCAGAAAAAGAGCGCCAACCTTTTTTCCATGTTGTTAACTTATTGGTAGTCCCATTTGAAAAAATAACAAAACCTGGAACCCTCACCACCAGCATCATCCAACAGGTTAGTCGATGATTAAATTGCTTATTCTTCAAGAAAAAAATAAGTAAAATTTCTCCTATAGCTCACAAGGTTGTTTTACGTCTCTCTCTTACTGTATCAAGGCTGAGACTGAAGTAAAGAGACTAGATGAACTAAAAGCAAGCAAGATGAAAGAGCTATTCCACAGAAAACAGTTTGAGCTTCAAGAAATATGCAGTAGATCACACATGGAAATTCCTTCGCCGTCTGAAATGGAAAACATTACACACCTTGTAGACTCAGGTAAGAGATGACACACAAATTTCCATCCTAATAAGGCACAAACTTGATACTACCCAAATTTTCTAATGTTTACTGAATTACTGAACACAAATTTGATGATTGTGGATAAAAGGGACAATTGACCTTGTCCATCTCCTCAAAAGCATGGATGAACAGATTGCTAAAGCTCAAGAAGAGGCTTCAAGCAGGAAAGCTATAATGGAACGGGTAGATAAGTGGATATTGGCACGTGATGAAGAACGGTGGTTGGAAGAATATAACAGGGTAACTATTGCTAATATAATTCAACAAATCCAATGGATTTATGAAATATGAACACCTAAGCCTAGATTTAACTGTTTGTTATGATGCTTTGCCTATAGGATGAAAACCGATATTCTGTCAGCAGAGGTGCTCACAAGAATCTAAAACGTGCTGAACGAGCCAGAGTTACAGTCATCAAGATCCCAGGTAACATTAAGTAGCAAGTTGCATGATCTCTTTAACAGGATAATGCCCTAAAGTTTATAACAATGACTATTATGATGGTTAATGGAGTTTACTGCACCAAAACTGCAGCAAAAGATTCAATTTAATGCAATTAACAAATCTGATTCACTATTTACTTATTATTACTATGGTAGTTCTTTAATAGGTTTTGGTCGTGAACCAGAATCAACTTATGTTAGTTTAAAACATTTTCTTATGCTTTGAAACATTGTCTGTCAGATCACAAGCTTCTCACACAAAAAAACTTATTTGCAGCTTTGATAGATATGTTGATCTCATTGACTAGAGAATGGGAAGCAGAAAGAAATAAAGTGTTTTTATATGATGAGGTAAGAGCTTCACTTATGATTAATTTTCGTTCACCTTACTATTTGGAGGTACTTCAAATTAGTATCCAGAGACTAGAAACTAATACAATATAATAAAGTAAGCTTTATTCAGTTATTTACTTCAAGCATGCTGTGGCTTTTGTGTTGTGGTTTCAGGCACCTCTTCTAGCTATGTTGGAAGAATATATTGCATTGCGACAGGAAAAGGAAGAAGAGAAGCAAAGATTAAGGGTAAGTTTAAATCAACACAAAATGCAAAATCATAAATATAGAGCTATAAGGCTATAGATTATGATTAAAATACAAGGCACTAACTATTTCAACAATATATCCACTCCCCAAATAACCACATATATGCACACATACACACAAAGAGAGAAGAGGGAGGAATAGAGCACATGAATCATGATGCAATCAGTTGACTAAACTGTACAGGAAGTAGTATGATATAGAAGAGATATAATAGCAACATTTGATGCTCACCTGGATATTAACATGGAGACTTCTTTGAAATTTTCAGTTAGAAAAGAAAAAGGTAGAAAATGTACACAATAATCTCTCATTGAGCCCCAGACCAGGCACCAGTGCTCGCCGTATCCCAAACAAAAATTTGAATGGTAGTTTCAGCAATGGATCCCCTACAAAAAGGAACTTGAACGGCAGTCCTTTAAACAGGAGACTATCATTGGGTGCACAACAAGCAGGATCAAACAGCTTCAACCCACGGAGTCTGGGCACATCATTCATGCAGGAAGGAATCAAACCACCAAGACAGCAAATGTATGCCCAATCTGAATATGTGTCTCACCTAAGAGATGAAACAGCTTCAGTTGTGTCCACCTTTTCCGGACCCTTATCTCCTGAAATCTGAGACCACTTACAGGAAATACATAAGTGTGTAATATAGCATAGATCTGAGAGTTTTGTGAAAAAATAACGTCGGAAATTCTGACTGCATCCCCACCACCCCACCCCCTCTTGCTTGCCCATATATACTTTGTAAAGTGCCCTGCATTCAGTCAAGAGGTAATGTATGTAGTGTTTCACTAGACCAGTGTGTGTAATATAGAGCTTTCTCTTAATCTCTTATCAACCAACCAAACAATACAAATATATAATCTCACTACAAATATGCTGCCGACACAACATGCTATCATGCTATGTCACTAAGGTTCTACAGAATCTACACTGTACTGAAGTACTTAATTCCATGGATAGTTGGATACAGTGTGACAGTTGGACAAGCCACATAATACCAAAAATATACTTATGTCTCTGAAACTTAACAAAATCTTACCCTACAAACATGTCACTATTGTATCAAACAATGAAATTCCCAAAAATTAACATGCATCTATGAAATTTAACAAAATCTTACCCTACAAACATGTCACTATATGTATGAAACAATGAAATTTCCAAAAATTAAATTAAATCTCTGAAAATTAACAAGATCTTACCCTACAAACATGTCACTATATGAATCAAACAATGAAATTCCACCCAAAAATTCTGAGTAGCATAGACACAATGTTTGCAAATATAAGCGCTTTGCTCCACTAATTTCTCTTTTCCCTCTTTAGACTTAAACAGGAAATTTAACGCGCAGCTTAATCATATGCAAGAGGTTATATACCTTTATAAACAGAGGCACTGTGATTTAACTCACAAAAAATTACGACAATATAACACCAATATGCATTTTATAAATATTTCACATCATTTTTCAGTTCTCGTCCTAAACAAATTCAGTCACCACACCAGCAAAAAGGCCATATTAATAATTCTTATATAAATGTCGAGTACATAACAGGAGACAGATTTAGCATTACTCATTTCTTCAAGTTACTGTAAAAACCAACACTATTGTTATACCAAATATCAAATTAGCCTATCATACCACAGAACATCAATTCATATCACAATATACCTCTATAATCTCTTATGATCAATCACTCCACCTTTCCAAAATTGCGATCATACAAGTAACAATTACCCAATTCGATTCCGATGAAGTTATTCCAGTAAAACCCTTGATCAAATTCCAGACTATGAAGATCAATAAGAAGATAAAAACTTTGGCAATTCACTCAATAAAACACAATAAAAACGATATCATAATTCAATTGAAAGTCTCAACCATCTACAAACACACAATCACCAACATTTCATCAATCTAACACCAAAACCCTAGGTCTCCTCATCATCATCATCAACATCAACAGGACCTTCACCTTCATTTCTCAAATCATCATTCTGAGGAGGCTTGAGGAAGAAGCTATCAATACGACGAGTATTAGGCGGAAGAACAGACTTCCCCTTAACCGTCCGATCAGCAGGAGGATCATCCAACGGCTGAGAAGACGGCAACGGAAGTGAGTCAAGCAGAAAATCGCGAGTCGGATGGTGTCGCTTGACGGCGAGTCTGAGGTAGTCGAGCTTGATGTTTTTACGCTTCTTTTCGACGGCGATTTCCGCGGATTTCTCGGCGAGGAAATGGAGGAATAGCTCGGTTGCGCCGGAGACGAGGAAGAGAGCTTCGGAGGTGATTCTGGTGATGTCTTTGTCGAATTTCACGATTTTCTTCACTCTTCCTGTTGGAAATGAGGGTTTTAGGGTTTCTGGTGAGGGGTTTTCTTCTTCTTCCGCCATTTTTGTTATGTGAGAAGGAGGGAGAGAGAAGGGTTTGGGATTTTAGGAGGGATGAGGGTTAGGAATTGGCGGGAGTTTTGAGTTTGTGGGGAATTAGGATTGGTGACTAAAATGGGAATTTCTAATCCTTCCGTTTTGTAATGATCGCAACATTTTTCATTTACCTCCGTTTCATAATAGTTGCAACACTTTTCATTTGGGTAAAGATCCAGTATTATTTTATTAATTCTCTTTTCCACTAACCCCACTTGCATAAATATTTTATTATTTACAAATTCTCCAAAAAAAGCGAGTGTACGTTAATTTACTGTAAAACGGGTTAAATTTATCTTCAAAGTATTCAAAGTTAACCATTATACTACAAAAGTTATTACTTTTCTAATACAGAGTAATAAATTTTAACTTACAAAAAAAACTTATAATGTACTCCCTCCGACCCATAATATATGAGACGTTGGACTTTTTTCATTATTCATGCATTAGCTTTGACCATAAATTTTTACTATCAAAATAAAAACAAATTTTATCATAAAATATGTTATTAGATAGGTATTAATATATAGTTTCATAATATAATTTTTAAAATAGTTTTCATTGATATTTAATTATACAAAAATAAAGTCAAACTAGTGCATTAGCATTAGGGCTATTCACAGTTTGGTCTAAACCGTAATCAAACCGGACCAAACTGGATTTTAGCGATTTGGTTTGGTTTGGTTTTTCAAAAATTATAAACCTAACCAAACCGTAAACCATTAAACTGTATTTTAATATTTATATAATTTTTAAATAAAAAAATTAGTAATTATATATTATAAAAAAAAATGGAAAAAAAAATTTAAAAAAAAAAACATGAAAAACCAAAATATGACTATACGGTCAGTACTCAATAGGTCATAATTTGCTCTCAGCCTCCCACCTCTCATCCCAAAAAAACCCCTTCGCCTCTTTCTGCTACGCTACTACTGCTCGGCTGCTCTAGTGTTGCTCATAACTACTAGCCTCCTGGCACTCCCACCCATACTGTCGGCTCGCTGCTCACGATTCTCATAATGTAGTATGATTTTATTTTTTATTTTTTATTTTGACAAATGTGTTATAAATTTATGATTGTTATGTCTTATTTTTATATGTGTTAGCACTTGATTAGTTGATTGTTATTTTTATTGCAACTTTGTAGTACAATTTAATCCTTTTGGCCTAATTGTTTAAACTTTTTTATAATTAATGAAGTATTATTTGACAATTTTTAATGGAAAATGTCGTCTCATCATAAACCGCACCAAACCGTATTATTACGGTTTGGTTTGGTTTGGTTTGGTTCGGTTTCAATACTAATATGGTTTGGTTTGAAAAATTGACCAAATCGCACCAAACCAGACCATGTTCACCCCTAATTGGCATGTGTGCAATGTTGACTGTGTCATGTATCATGGGACAAAGAGAGTATTAGAATAATCACATTAGCCTTTATAGTATGTAATCATAAATCTATAAGAAATTTCACATTAAAATAAAATTTAAATCAACGACAAATTAAAAGTTACCCTTTAATGGGTTAAAGTTACCATCACTACTAGAAATAGGCTGATTTCCACAGATATGTTCCGATGGACACGAAAATCCGTCGGAAAAAACGTGATTCCGATGGATTTAAATTCCGTCGTAAGTTTCCGACGGATTTTGATTTTCCGTCGGAAAATACGTAGCTCCGTCAAAAAATAATTAGTTTCCCATGGACTTAAATTCCGTCGCAAATTTCCGATGGAATTTAATGCCTTTTCCGACGGATTTATGGCTTTTTTTAAAAAAAAATCATACCCTTAAAAAACCGGAACCCTACCCTACCCCTCCCCTTTCATTTCTCTTTTCTCTCCCCTCTCCTCCGCCTCTCTTCTCTTTCTCTCTCCTCTCCTCTTCTTTGACCTCCTCTCCTCCTTCTTTGATCCAGTAATTTTTTATTGCAACAGTTTCCAACGGAATTTTCCGGCGGATTTGTATTTCGTCGGAAAAATTGTTCCGACGGAAATTTCGTCGGAAAAGGTCGTTTTTCCTACAAACGGTTTTCCGACGGAAATTTCGTCGGAAACGGGTTTCCCGACGGAATTCAGGTGATTCCGACGGAATTTTTCTGTCGGAAATGGCCTGTTTTCTAGTAAAGCATAAAAATAGTTAAAGTTACCCTCTAACTGACTGTTTAACAATAAAATTAACGTACACCCGCCTTACACAAGAATTATTGTTTATTATTTCTCTCTCCTACAAATCTCACCTGTACTACTTTTTATTTATTATTTTTCTCTCTTATAAACAATTAAATATATCTCCACTAACTATACTTTATATTATAAAATTCACTATATTATCCCTACCCTATAAAATTCCTAAAACTTTGTGCAAGACCTACTGTTGCGATAAATATGAAACGGATGGAGTACTTTTGATTATTCTGTGGTTTCGGGTGGGTGTTTTTTTTTTTTTTTTTAAGGCTCAAATGATTGGTGACCTTATAAATAAGTTAATTTAAAAAAAAAAATTTATATCCTTCCTTTCCCTAACCTTTTCTTTATCCTCCATTTCCACACCACCTTCCTCCTCCCCCTCGTCGGTGACTTTCTGTCAACCTTCCTCCTTATCTCATTCCCCTTTCCTGTCAACTCATCTCCCTCCCTTCCCTTCCCTTTCCCACCTTTGGCGGATTTCTCTCTTTTTTTCTTTCTCAACCACTAATGGTGATTGGCTAGGGTTAGATTTTCAAGGGTGTGGGAAGTGTCTTAGGTGGTTTTGGGGTGGGGGAAAAGGATGATCGAATAGGGTGATTTCACGATGGGGGAAGAGAGGGGTGATTTCGAGGGTGGGGGTTTGGATTCGGACTTTCAGGGGCGGAGGCGCGAGGGAGGGGTGATTTGGGGGAGGGGGTTTGATTTATTGTATCCTATATATCCTAACATTGATTTCTCTATAGTCTACTTTAGGTTTGAGGGGATATGATGAAAACTTGATTTAATCTTAGTTATTGAGTAGTATCCTTCATAACTTTAACCAATAGGCTAGTTGATCATCCACCGACTAGTGCTATGAGCTTATGGTCCAATGTAAACTATTCTTATTGTACCCAGTTAGACTTTAACAATAATATAAAGAAAGTATTGGAAATAAGTAGGTGATAAATTGGGTTTACCTAATATATAATCATTTATGCACAACTTAAAATATAATACACTATGAGCTGTGACACACTAGTTTATCCTTGGTAATCAAAGGTGATTGATAACTCCAACTAGAATTACTTTTCATTGATTGGTTGAACAATTACATTTAGTCAATGATAAGAGAAAAGCAATATTAGAAAGTGATTAAGTACAAACTAAAAGTCACAAGTAAACTGATAAAACAAGCGTGATAACTGGCATAAGTGAATAAGTTTATGGTAAATAATCACTGCTAACTAGTTTTTGAGTACGTTCTACACAGGGGCTGTGCATAAATTATTATATATTTATACTCAAAACTTTACAAATTACTTGAATAACTTAATTTCATAGTCTTTTCACATCTTATAGCATTTTACAAATTATTTAGGTTTTAATGTTTTTTTTTTTATTTTTATTATTGTTATTAATACTTGGTATGATTATTTAAAAAAAAAATACTTGGTATGATTTCTAACCTTTTTTTTCCAGAACATTTGATAAAACTTATTAAAAAAATAAATAAATAAATTGTATTCTATTGGTTTTTATTTTGAAAAATAGGAATACTAATGGATTAATTTGGATGAATATGCATAGTATGATTTATAGAAAAAGAATGTCGAAAGAGGCGACATTTGCGTTCACTTGTTGACTAATTGTCGGTGATCCCTTATAATTGTTGTATTTGTGCAAGCTTCAAAAGCCTAGCTAAAAAAATAGCAAAATCTACTCTTTCTACAAATAATCAACAAAGTAATAATTGTAAAAAAAATAAAATAAAAATGGCTTAATCGTAAAATCAAACTATCTAATTGCATTATAGTTAATCAATAATTCTTATTATTAAAAAAACTAAATACCAAACCCTTGTTGTAATTTTACGTCAAATATGAAATTATAAAATTCCTATAAATACCAAATCTACATCTCTTAGAGTGCACTTAATATCTTGAAAATAATGTCCCTATGATATGCAAGCAATGTCATATTTACTACAGAATATAATTTTCATAATTTTATTAAACGAAACTCTTCATTTTTCTTGTCAAAATCAAGTCTTCCGTCTTTGCAACTTCATTTACATTAAAAGTTTGATTTTCTAATATTTTTTTGGAACTTTATTGAAAACTTGTATTTATATTTGGAGATAGATTGGGGGGAAGATAAGGAGTCAAAAAATTGAGTGACAAATGTGATTAAATTCAATTGAAAGATGGAGGGAGAAGAGGAACAAGTTAAGAAATTCAATTTTTTGTGGAATTAAAATAGAAGTTACATAATATGAAGAGTTGTTAATAAATAAAGGGAGAAGCTAAAGGAAAAATAAAAACATTAATTGAACTCATGAAAAAAGAATGAAGAAAGGTAAAAAGGAAGGAAGACATGTGACACTTTGGCTTGTGTTGGTTTGTTTTTTTAAGTACTAAGTATAGATAGATATAAATAGTGTGTGAAATGACAATTTACGCGCCATATTAGCAATCTATAAATTTCAAAAAAGATATGTGTTCCTAAAAAAAACTTCATATTAAAGTGCTTTGTCGATGCAACATCTTGAGAAAGTTTTGCGTGAGATAGGACTCATCATGAGTCCAATATGTCTGACAATAATAATCTAATACATGATAATAATAATCTAATACCAAACAATAATAATCTAATGAAAGGAATGGTGTCCTTCCAACAAGTGTATTCTTCCGATAGAGGGTTCAGAATTATTACAGAGCTAATTCTTCAATAAGGTCAAGTGATCGGAATGCCTAGGTGGAGGCCGCTTCCGATCAGTAATATCAAGGTACAATTGATATTACAGCTTAATCTTAACTGAACCCTTCGGGTCGAACCCAATCGAATCACCGATCCGAGACGACGAATTAATCTGAAAGGATTTAATGAGTTGACAGAGTTTTACGAATACAGACGTCGGAAATCGAGCTTAGGGCGTCGAGATCGAGCGTCGCAAAATCACAAGCAACAAGTATGAGCGTAGCCGTAGCTAGTCTAGGCTAGCTCATCGCAAGCCTAGGTGCACCATGTGTGTGCTAGGCGCACCATGGTGTGCTAGGAACCATCGCAGCCTAGGCGCGCCCTGGAAGCCCATCGCAAGCTAGCATGGGTGTCTGGGTGCGCAAGGCAGCTATCGCAA